ATCTGAAACAATGTTTGTAGATTATGCAAAGTTTTTCATTAATTGCTTCATTTTCATTAAATGTTGCTCTCTGATTGGTCAAACTTTCGTTGACAAAAAGCATTAGATTTTCCATATATTGAACATTGATTTTTTTACCATAAGTATATAAGAGTAAAGTACTCACAAATTCGACGCACGAGATAGTCGTTGTATTGCACTCCTGACACGAGGAGTCGTAAATAATGACGACGATATCATCACTGTACGTGATTCCATCATTAGACACACTCAGAAAAAATCCCTCTGCCACAACAGGATTCTCGTCTGTCGAATGCTTTGCCCCTCTCAAAGCGTCGCTGAGTGAACACGAACATCCGGACCCGCCCACTAGTAACTTGGCTGGGAATGTGTCATTGGCTGAGGTCATATTATAACCGCCATCTGTCATCTACGCTCAAAATAGGAAACAAAATAGAAAAAAGGATGTCTCCGTTGATAGCATATAGAAACACATTTAAGATAGTTACTAGCTGACAACATTGCTCTTCCCCATTTTTCTCTATTGGATTTTCCATTCACAATGTCTTCAAACAAACTGTATTTTGAAAATTTCAATGTTTTTCTGCTACAGACAATTCTGCCAAAGACTGGTATTTGAACTTGTGATATTATCAGCATAATATACAATGTCGTTTTATAAAAGTAATCTGATCAGACAAGTTACATTCATAGGATGATGATTGTGAATGTTCAGCGTCATTACACAGATATTTGTCAGTGTGACGTGTCCATCAATGCAATTATTGCTGGTATATTACTAATATGGAAACTTTACGATAATGGTATTGAAAAATTTACATTGATAAAAGATTCGAGTGATTTTGTTTCCACTTATGTCGTTCTATTATGTCAATAAATAACAGTGATGAAGAGGAGTTTTTTTTTAATTACTGAGTTGTTCTGGAAAAAATCAATAACTATTAATGTGAAAATTGAAAAAATCAGATAAGAAATATCATCTCTTTCCTACAATCACCATTATATAAATTTAGCTCCAGGACTAAGAATACATTCCGAGAGGATAGGAAAATATGTCGCTGTTCGGCCCCTACTAGGATACTGATATTCTGTTGCAATATTCATCCACAAATTTCAACAATAAAATTATCGATCAAGATTGGGGATAATAAGTTATCATGGCAATTTACCGGTAGCAGTGTAATGTGTTACATGTATCCATATTTATATTCATAACAAGCGATTGCCAAGTTTTAATTTAGTTAAAAGAAAACTAGAGTTATATGTATGCTTAATTTATCAAGTGATGCATATACTGCATATTATCATAAATTGATATGTACTTAATTAGTATAGATAAACAAATAAAATTAATAATAGCAAATATTATTATTTGAACTCGGATAATGAAATCCCAGTCTGATACATAGTTAAATCTCACCGTGAAATGAGCCGCCTTGCATGTCATATTTTCCTGTGCAAAGTTTGATCCTGAAATAAAGAAGGTGTTACAAGGGTACACCTCACGTTTACACAGTCCTGGATTTGTCCTCGACGATACAACGGGAGGCAATGATGGTTTCGTGGAACATTCAGCACCCTCAAAGTCGTCAAAACATTGACATTCTCCTGGTATAAAGAAAATAACCAATCACTACATTAGATAATTGAACCCCACCATTTCCCACGTTACTGTAACTTAAAATATTTGTCTATTCCACATTCTAATGCAGAAGTCTTTCGACGAATAAATATCCAATGTCTTTTTAAATGCCACATCACTTTTGCTGCGCTCATTGAGTTGCTCTTAGAAAGCAAATTGAAAAAGAAAAATTTAAAATCGAATTGGAAAAAAAAATTCCTATCTGCAGCTAATGAAAACATTTATATAAGGACGCTTGCCGTCATAATGTATCGGTGAAATAACACACAGAAGAACATTTAATTTTAGTTATTGTAATGAGAACAAGTTGTTGTAACTTAGTGGTCATTAACCTTTATAGCAAAACGTATAACCTAAATCATAGTACTGAAAGAACACTTTTCTTTCCGTTCAATATAAAGCTCATTTCTAAAAGTCCTTACACAGTCCCAAAGTTGTAAGGATTCGAAGATGGAATTTGACAGTCACTGTCAAAAGTTATATTCAGTGCAAGGAAGGCCATTCATTAAAATTGCCTTAAATGATTTCGTTCAAGAATACTCATTACCAAATATAATGGACCTAATGATATGAATAATGATCACTTGATGGTAAAAAAAAACTAATTAGGTTTTTTTCTGATTTTACAGGGCGACTCAACAATTGTAGTTGAATTAGTTAAAATTTGGTCTGTTGATATTCGGCGAGTAACTGCCAAAAAGCTATTGCACTAAAACGTAGAATAAAGAGTTGGCTGCTGTAAATGATCGGTATGTTGGGCATGAGCATGCTATTATCATGTCAATGGGTTATCTTTGAGTTTTACAACAGGAGATACAATGTTAACAAACATATGTTTATTCATAAACAACGTACAATAGCTAACAGAGACCACAATGCATGTATAAACGAGACTTACCTTGTTGACAAATTCCGTTTCCAGAACAGTTATTTCTACAGTCGAGATCCAACATAACGTCCAACACTGTCTGGCCTGCTGTACCATCAGCCGCTGTTGTCTGAGTGAGGTTTTCTAGCTTAAGTGCTGTCATTCGACAACTTCTGGCCAGATTATCAGCTGTAGACTGCATAAACTGAGTGTTTCCCATTAGCTGGAACAGTCAAAATAAGATACAAATAATTTTATGATTGTGAAGCTTAATTTATATTTATTATATTAGATATTTTCACTAATGTTTAAAATACATTGTAATCCTCTTTGACTATCTATACGGTTGTACATATTTGAAGTTCGAAGCCTAGAAGCTAAATTTAGCAATGTTCTTATTTTTACGAGGTTGCTTCTTTTACTCTATCGTTGCTATCGATTATCATTTTCAATAAAATATTCAGCATTTTAAGGGTTCCAGTAAATTTTAACTAGAAAGCCACCAGGACAGTAAATCGCCACGAAAACTCTCGAGCAATAATTTCTGTTGATACATAGATGATTTGCATTAAGTGACTGTGCTTGCGATATATTTTCTATTTCATTTAAAGTTGGAAGTTGTTCGGTAAATGTTCTTTCAATACTGTTATAGCAGTATCGAAACTTTGAAAAACCACATTGGAAATGAATATAACTGTTCCTCTCATATAGGGCAATCCTTCAGCTAGGTGGAGTCTATTGCTCTGAAGTTCGAGGAAAATTCTACCTTTTATTAACAATGATTTTGACCTTTGAATCTTCTCTTGGTAAAACCACAACTATTGTACTCTAGTGTGTATACAGTGTATTTTGATATATCACAACGATATCAATGTTATCAACTTACGGTCCTAGTATGTACTTAAATTGTAACTTGATCTATGATACCGGTATACCTGCAATGTTTCCAGATATCTAATTCTGTGACAAAAAAATGAACCATGATTTATGATATTAAGATAATAACAATGGTGTTCATTGTTACCTTGATATCGCTGATACAGGATTGAACACCTTCCTCATTGTCATTGGCTGTTGCCTCTAACACCTCTTCACACTTTTTCAAAAAATTCTGATTCTGTAAAAATGTTCTGCAAGCTTCATCCGCCAAAGTTTCATTCCACCCATTCCTCCACATAGAAGGCTACAATAAAAAGCATACAATTCTTTGTACATTTTGTATAATATGTATATAAACAATAGTTTTATATAATCTGTCAACAGTGATACAAATTCATCAGGATATAACCAATTGATTGCAAGTTTTTTGCATCTCGCAAGGACAATGTTGAAAAAAAAACTTTGAACGGCAAGTGAAAATGACACCTTGGTCGATTTCGTGATACGTTGCTTACATGATTTATTCGTTTATTCGGTCATAGTTTGACAAAGAAACCAAAGTGGATATTTTACCCAGAAAACAAAACTCGTATGCAAACGTACAACTTTTCATCGCTTTCTAATGTCATATGTTCAGTGGTGACTAATGGACCAGGATGCACTTAAACTTTCACTGATATTTAAACACATTCACAGATATGCTCCACACACGCAGACATACCATATATTTTACAAAATATTGTAAACATGTTACTCCTTTATCAAGAGCAACAAATTACATGGTAAGAATTGCAGCCATTTTTGTACAGCATATACATTTGTATATTTCATTTTACCTCAGGTACATCATCAGCATCAGGTGCGTACACGATTTTGAATTTCGATGGAACATCTTGCTCGCTTAGAGATCGTCTATACCTGTGATGTGAAGTTGATCGCTTTCTTCTGGATGGTTCATCACAGGTTTTAAAAAAGCTACCAGTATCCGGGTATGAACACAACACCGTTTCTGTTATGATTGAGCATTCTATTGTATTGTTGAAATCTGAATATGAAGTTGAGTTCGATCTACATTTACAATATCGCGGCAATGTTAGGCTTGCATCTGGCAAACTGATATTACCAAATAAACTCTCGCTGTCTTGAACTATCCTAAAACATACAAAAAAACTGTATCGATGAAATATATTATATTGATTTTCACAATAGCTTATCAAATATCGCAGCAATGGAGACGATTTTTTTAAAACATGTTGAATTTAAAATGCAATTATTTATTTGGATGCATGCTATTGGAAAGTTTTATGTTACATAAATGTTACGGTTCAGCAATAATTTGGGACGTTGAGGTCAGATCGGTAACATGTAACCTTTCTTTTCTGCTGAGTATATATCCTCAATAGTAGGGGCTAAGAGTACTAAATGTCAAAGGTTTGATAAACTCATAGGGTTAACCTTAGAGGATCTGTGAATAGCAACGATCTCACATCCTTAAAGCGTATTCATTAGTATCAGACAATAATTCATAATTAGTATCGCATTATGATTAAACGATATAACAACGACTGTATTGTATGACACCATACTAACTTCCAATCAAGTGCAAATGTTTCCTCGTTATTTGCCGTCCCTCCATTCTTAGTTCTGAAGTCGTTGTTTTGGTTACCATCCAAATATCCACACAATCCCGACGACGTTTTCCAATCAGCAAGAGAGGGCTTGATAAGTATACCGTTAATAAGTATTTTATCGTACCCCGATGAAAAGTAGTGACTAAACGAAATCTGAGTTCCCGTAGGAAGTGTTACCTAAAAATAAAGAAAACTGATAATTTGATTTTTGAAATAATTAACAATATTCGTGATTGATCAAATATCTATTAAGGAACTTTTTAGAAGCAAATTAATTTGCCTTACCTTTCACTCTTTTACTTTTTATATTAAGTATGGATTTTAAAATTCACACTACATAGTGAACAGAAATGATCGACACTGGTGTTGAAAATTCATTTGAATTTCCTGGTTGAAAACTAATTTCGAAAACAATTGCTTCCTATTCTTTTATTTTTTTCCCTATAGTTTAAGATAAAGCTGATATATTTTCTGAAATACTAGTTCTACATTTAGAACTTAAATTCATTCAATCGATCATTTTTAATTTTCTCCGACTTTTTCCTTTCTGCATACCTATACCTAAGGTTATAACAATAGAAATTAATAATATAAACTTTGAATTGAAATGCCATTATATAGCCAAATAAATGTTGTTGTTTTTTCTAATGCATCCTGTTCAAAATGTTAAGACATATCATCGACAAAAGCTTGGCATTATACTTCGAAATTGTATTTGAAGATAAACTTTGTTGAGTACTTAACACAACGAAGAATATAATTCAGGATACTATTGCACAATTGCTTACCGTATAACTGTTACCGTTCTTGTTAATTATCATGTGGGTGTCATCACAGAATGACTGCTCTACATAACGATTGGATTGTGTCCCACTGGTAAACCAGCCAATAGTTGCATCGCAAAAGTTGGCGACGAATACAGCGTCGTTATTTCTGACTGCCACTCCACAGTTGCATGTAGGCCCGACATGATTTGTCTTACATGACTGGTACATCGCATGAACTTTTAAGGAAAGCAAAGCTTTTACATATGAAGTTGTAGATATCTTATAAAGCGTACATTGTATATGACAATATATTCAATTTTTTCTAACAAATCATTTAAGGAGAAATACCAAAAAATATTCATCTCATGTCAAAATATTGTAATAAGCTTTAAAGTTATCTATAAGGGAGTATAAGCTTATCAGATAAGCGATGGTCAACTTCTGTAGAAAAGGGACAATAGGTAGCAGTGTACAGTAGAAATGGCCCGACTCTGATAAACAAGGCACATGTCGAGGAAATGTAAACACAGCGGATTTACCCTACACAACACATGTATACATGTATATATATTTGTAAATTGCATTACATTTACAATACATATAAAGTACTGAGAAGTGTATAAACCTCTTTTTTCTATGTATGTCACTTGTGTGAAAACCATGGTTACCACATCAAAAATTACCAAAAAATGCCAAAAATTGCTATTTTTAACCCAAAATTTGACCCCCGCAACTAGTAATTTTTTTCCTAAGCTCTGTCTGAAATTAAAGATTACCTACCTGGTTGCAGAATTATCTGGGTCCCAGTAAAGTTGTAAAACTTGATTTTTTGCAATTTTGCGTCGTGTGCTGTTGTCAAAATTTTACCTCCTGTAAAGCTAGCTTTTCATGTGTACGCACCCTTTCGTATTATGGCCAAAATTTTATTCTCGAACCAAAGAAATCTTCTTTCTTTTTTACAAATGTGAAGCTCACATAGCCCACTTCATCATGCTTATACCAATTTTAGTACAGTTTTATTTTTATATTATTTTTACATATCATTATACAGGGGTTAGCCATTTAAAAAAAAATCACCCATGGCCACAACCCTCTACTGTATACTGCTACCATAGCTTCTGTGAAATAAAAGCGAGTGCAACTACATTTGGGAGCAAACTTAACTTGGTATCTAGTGCACTTCGTAGTGAACAAGGAAGTACACTTGACAAAACATTGAAGTGGCTTCCAGTTCACTTCAGTGTTAACTCCAGTGCACAACGATGTGAACTCCAGTGCACTACAGTGTTTACCAAAGTTTAAATGACTGAAGTACATATTTCAATAATTGATTAGAATGAAATTGGTTCTTTGTGATATGAAAATATGAAAATTGAAAGAGAAAAATAAAAAATCATTTAACTGAATATTTCATGATATCGATACCTGTATTTCTTTTTTTTAATTATTATAACTTTACATTTCAACTGAACATTTACATGTTCATATACAGAGAGAAATTATACCCAATCTCTGGTGAGTATAGAAAATCTATAGATAGCTGTACTATTTTAGAGGTAAAGTTTAAAAGTACTCTTTATCATAGTTAAATTCACATCATTGCATATCAATGCTGTAGTGTCAGGATGGAGCATGAATAATTTTATACTTTTTATGTAAGGTTTCTCTATAGCACGACATCAATAGATTGATTCGCTCCTCTGTTTTTTACATAGAGTCAAGAAAAGATAAAAACTCAAGAAAAATCTTATATTACGGCATGGCACTATATAGATATAAGGTAAAGTTCGATCAAGCTAAGGATGTGCATTCATTTTAGTTCGTTAATCCCAAGTTGCCAGCCTTCTTATAGGAATATTAGGAAATAACTATGAGTTAGTCTGAGTTTCATTTCTTTGTCATAGATGTATACACGTCAGGTACATGTACATGCTAATGGTTGAATTAGATATATCTACCTGAGAATATATGGGCATGACCACCCATTGACCATTCACCTGTGGTCACATGGGATTCTAATGGGCTGTACCTAATCTTGATCACCTTGTGTGAAGGCAATTAATCCTGTCAATTGATCCAGCCCATTGTCTGTCCAGTAAATACATAGGTATGTCAGTATATGCTTACAGGTAAGATACTGTGACTGTCCCTTTGTCAAGAAATGACATCCTTAGTCACAATTCTATTTCAAAACAGTTACTTTGACTCTATAGTTGTGTTTCACACTACCTTATCCCTTTAAATGGTTTACAAACTAGGTGTTACATATATAGTCAACGCTAGTTTCTGTGTAATGCTTTGCTTTATTATGTTGTCATTTGATGATTAAGAATAAAATTGAAAAAAGCCCCACGTTGCAAGAGCTGGTAGCGGTTTATATTGATATACATAGTTAAATCGGCAAACGTCCTCTTTAACATTATATACCGTTATATATCTATCTTATAGTCATTATGATACGAATTAAAGCATAATCCATAGTACGTTACATTGGGATACATGTCTTCTCCATTTAACTATATAATGTACCAGCGGCTTTTAATACAACATTGAGCATCTGTGTCCGATGCGATATCATCTAAAATATGAATACTCTAAAAACTATTTTATTCAATGAATTAAAATGTATACATTATGATTTAAATAAGCGTTCGCCTGTAGCACCTATTTCACATTACTGTGTATAATATTTATCATCTATATTTATTCTCTATGTATCGTTTATTGTATATCATGTACCACATATAATGGGCCAATAGCCCAAGGAATAAATGTTGACGATATTGACATTTGTGATATTATGAAAAGTGAAAATTATAATTATTATTTCCTTTCTACAGTGTATGTCCAAACAAAATAAGCTTGAGATTGAAACTTTGCAGAACTTTAAAAAAAATCTTTGATATTAAGATTAGATTAGATTATTAAGATTAGATAATGAGGCTACTTTTAACTGTAAAAACATTATTATTTTCGTATGAAATAAATGTATCTTTTTTAGTTTTTTTGATATTCATATTTCATCTACTACCACGTGTCATTATGATTATTCACAAATATATTGGAATATTTCTCTGATTAAAGTATACATAAGTTCTTAATAACTAAATGTATTACACTACCATCTACATTATTTTGAACCAGACTATAACCAAAATATGTAACTATATAATTATGTGTTCCAGTTGTTTTTCCGCTTATTTCAACTTACCCAATACAGTTTCTGCGAGTTGTGATATAACACATATTCACCTAGCCTTTGATTTTCCCATCGGCTGAAAAATAACACTTCAGTTTATGCTATGTCTTAATGATCGACAAATTGAATTGCTACATTCAAGATGTACGGGTAATGCACATGCAGTAACGACTGTATTGTTGTTACTTTAGCAATCAAACCTTCCAGAGAATAAAGAAAGTAATCACAACATAAGTTACAATCGATCGTGAAAAAGGAGTTATCATACAATTGCTTTTTGATTGGTCATGAACAGAATAATTACCAATGAACAGATGGAATCATTACCAAATTACAGACCGATTCATTGCAATCAAGCAGGCAGATTCATTACAATCGGGCAGGCTGATTCATTACAATCGAGCAGGCGGATTCATTACAATCGAGCAGGTGGATTCATTACAATCAAAAATGCGGATTCATTACAATCGAGCATGCGGATTCATTACAATCGAGCAGGCGGATTCATTAAATTCAAGCAGGCGGATTCATTACAATCGAGCAGGCGGATTCATTACAATCAAGCAGGCGGATTCATTACCATCAAGCAGGCGGATTCTTTACAATCGAACAGCAGACGGATTCATTACAATTGAGCAGCAGGCGGATTCATTACAATAAAGCAGGCGGATTCATTACAATCGAGCAGGTGGATTCATTACAATCGAGCAGGCGGATTCATTACCATCGAACAGCAGACGGATTCATTACAATCGAGCTGGCGGATTCATTACAATCAAGCAGGCGGACTCATTACCAATAACAGACGGAAACCTTACCAGTGAACAGACGGGTTCATTTCCTTAAACTAAACAGATGGATTCATAACAAATGAATAGACGGGGACAGATGTACTTACCGGCCATCAAACGTTCTCATGTGGGGGTCATTATGGCTATAGCATTGACTAGTCAAAACGATGGAGTCTGCATCTTCAACCGCGACCTTAAACAGGTTGTAAAGTATCAAGGACAAATATAAATATAAACAAGAGGCCCATAGGGCCTGTATCGCTCACCTGGATATCTAAGCAATCATGGCAAAATATTCTCCAAATGAGATCCAAGGGAATATGCCAGACCCCAAGGCCAATCCTTGTAGCATATATATCTGTATTCGCTTTTTCATGCCCAGCAATTTTATGTATGGTTATGGGGTGGGGATCTCAACTGTTTCCAAGCTGTGACTCAGAAACTAGGTCCCTACGGTTGTGGCCAGAACCCCGGATTAATTCTAATATCATAACTGCACTTGTCTCTTTTTGCCCAGCATTTGTATATATAGTTTTGGGTGGGGATCTCAACCGTTTCAAAGTTATGACCCAGGGGTTAAGTCTGCAAGGGTGGGGCAAACCCTGGGGTCAATTCTAATATCATGACTGCATTCGTCTTTATGCCCAACAATTGTATATATAGTTGTGGGGTGGGGATCTTAACCATTTCAAAGTTATGACCCAGGGGTTAAGTCTCCAAAGGTGGGGCAGTCCCCGAGGCCATCCTGGAAGCATATGTGCATTCATCTCTTTATAGGGTGGGGATCTCAACTGTTTCCAAGCTGTGACTAAGAAACTAGGTCCCTAGGGGTTCGGTCAGACCCCAGGGTCTATTCTAACATCGTGACTGCATTCGTCTCTTTATGTCCAGCTTTTGTATATGTAGGTTTGGGGTGGGGATCTCAACAGTTTTAAAGTTTTGGCCCAAGGACTATGTTTCCAAGGGTGGGGCCAGACCCTAGGGCCATCCTGGAAGCAAATGAGCATTCTTCTCTTTATACTCAGCAATTGTATATGTGGTAATATGGTGGGGATCTCAACCATTTCCAAGCAATAAACTTTTTTTGGCCCCACCCCTTAGCCCGGGGGGTCAGCCCCACCATTTGTACAATTTTGAATCCCTGCCTCCGATGAATGCTTCCGACCAAATCTGATCGATATCCATGGCATAGTTCTACAGAAGAAGTCGTTTATAGCAATATAGCCAAATTGCCCCCCTTTTGGCCCCGCCCTCCACGCCATTTGTACAATTTTGAATCCCCACTACCTAGGGATGCTTCCAGTCTAATATGATTGATATCCCTCACTTAGTTCCAGAGAAGAAGTTGCTTAAAGCAATATAACCAAATAACCCGTTTTGGCCCCGCCCCTCAGCCCCCTTGGGGGTCAGCCCAACCATTTGTACAATTTTGAATCCCTGCATCCCATGAATGCTTTTGATAAAATATGTTTGATATGCAGTGCATAGTTCATCAGAAGAAGTCGTTTGTAGAAATATAGCCAAATTACCCCTTTATGGCCGCGCCTCTCAGCCCCCTGGGGGGTCAGCCCCACCATCTGTACAATTTTGAATCCCCACCACCTAGGGATGCTTCCAGTCAAATTTAGTTAAATTCCAATCAGTGGTTAAGAAGAAGAAGTCGTTTAAAGAAATTGTTGACGGACGGATGACGGACGGACGCCACGGTATGGCATAAGCTCACCTTGGTCCTTCGGACCCGGTGAGCTAAAAAGTACAAAGCTAACGAAAGGCAAAAATGGCGATAGATTAACGTCCAACGTCCCGAGCAAAAGCACACACTCTCACACACATAAATATTATTATTGGATTTATGTAAATAGTTTGTTTAGCGCCTAATTTTCCGCTATCAATCCCGGGCATTATTTCGCGAGTATTACATCTCATAGCACTCAAATGTCCGCATATTCAAACATTCTCATGTATTCCAGACTAAAAGTACGGGAATCTACGTCAGAAATGAACAAAAAACAAATCATTTGCACATGCGACGTTGTAATTAAATGCTTGAACTGAGCTTCCCTGCTTCTTAATAAAAGAAAAAGTAGATTCCCACCGTCTGATGGTGGGTTTGATTGAATAATTTTCAGTACAAATGTTTGCGTGGTATCCAATTTTGTACTGCAAAACCTTACCGCAAACATGGCGAAATTAAACACTCGCAAACATAAAGTACTAAACAGTGATTAATTTGAACCTGAAAAACATCCTTTACTAACTGTTCACAGCTAAGAATGTACGGAAATCAAATTGAGAAAGGTATAACCATGCTGCAATGGAGATGTCGTTTTCATAACGTTGTATAAGCGCATCCAGTCACTTAATACTCGTCTGATAATTTTGTAGATTCTATAGTCCTATTACCTCCTTTCGATCAATACTCCCCTATCATAAAATACAGTGTGCTACTTGGTCATATTGTAAAAATACTCACAAACAGGTAAAGCAATCTTTAACATCCGTACTACCCTGTCTTCTAAAACTTGTACAATGTCAAACGATCTCTAATTTGCATCTACATATGTGATTTGCATAATTCTATACATCAAGAGTAATTTGATACTGTCTCTCCTACACAACCATTTATCAATTAATCTATAACATCCATAACCCTCCCTGCTTAAATGTATTGTGTTACTCGGGCAAGACTGTCCTTCCTATCAACACTATTGTAAAACAATCCATAACATCTACACTCCCCTCTCTTCTAAATCACCCTTTTTATACTCGGGCATACTGTACAACTAACAGCTATCAATATGATGTGATTTGCCACATGCTGTCAATCAAATATTATTCAATATAGTTGTAAGGCATTTAATATAATTATATGAAGCATATACGGCGTTCAAAACTTACCAATATGTCTGGCATTGAAGCTTTATTCCATGCCGGGTGATACACGAGACCGCCTAAAACCTCCAAACGTATATATGAAGAACGACTTCCTACATTCACTAAGTTGTCTGATGCACCGTATACCTTCAGGGACTTTGTGATAGCCCAATCGTTAGGAGATATGCGAACACCGCAGTTCGTATTATCGAAAGACACCGGTTCGTTGCTAATACCTCCTGAGGAGCATTGGACAGTGTCTGTCTGATCTGGCGTCTGGATGCGAATTTCTATTCTGCAATTATTTTCCGCATAGTCATGCCACCTGCAAAAGGTATCGTATTACAGAGGGCATCAAACAAGTAAATATGTTGCGGTTGGAATGCTATTAAAGTCTGTTTTTCATATCGGTATAAGAAAACAGATAAAACATAGTCTTTCATGATAACGCACGTTTTCCGGAAGATTTACCTGGTCTCGCGAGAGCTTGTAGAACGTTACAGCCGATACTATTCTTATATTTCATCGGTTTAGTCTTTCATATTAAAAACATATGAAAACTTATACAAAGCATACTAACAGAATTAGCGTGTTGTCCGTCGCTGTGGGTTACCATTGTGTTTATATAGATATGGAGGCACGGTAGTCTGGTGGTGGGACGCCGTGCTAGTGACCGAAGGGTTGCGGGTTCGAGTCACGGCACGGCTCTGTGTTGTATCTTTGAGCAAGATACTTTACTCCGCTTGTTCCAGTCTACTCAGTTATAAATAATGAGTACGTGGTTGGGCAGTGCTAGAATTGTTGAATGCTAGCTGTTAGCGCCGAAATGGCAGCTCCGGATATATTCTCCCCCAATGAGTTGAGAAAGATATTGGCTGGTTGCAAAGGCTCTATAACCACGGATAATAATTTGTGAACTGCTTTGAGACGACCTACGAACTAGATTGTGATCAAGCGGGATATAAGAACCTCGAATTATTATTATTATTATTATCATTACAAGCTAATGGGTAATAAGATTTATATATATATTTTCAATGCCGCCGTGACTATTCTCCATAATTATGCTTATTAAAGATTTAAAAGAAACTCTGGTTAGGTATACATGTAGCAAACACGAGTGAAAGCAAGTGTTTTTTTTTATAAAAGCACTGCATAAAGTCTTGAGTGTAATCAGCCCAACAGAACTCAAAATATAAGTTGTGCATTTTATAAACTGATTCATATAGTAACAGTGATAGAGACCTAACCCCCAAACCTGGAAAGTTATCCCAAGCAGGCACTTTCTTTGAGGAAGCATTGTATAAAGGCAAGAGTGTAATCAGCCCAAGAGAAATCAAGATATTGTGCATTAGTGCATTAAACAGATTTTCTATTTATAGTGACCCATTGACCTTTGACCACTGGACCTAAAAAGTTATCTGAAGCAGGCACTTTCTTCCATGAAGTACGCGATAAAATCTGAGTGTAATCAGTCCAACAGAATTCGAAATACAGTGCACAAACTGATGTTCTATTCATAGTAAGTGACCTTGACCTTTGATATCAAAGGCTAAAAAGCTATCCAAAAGCTTAAACAAAAATTTATTACACTGGCTAAAGTCCATGTATGCACACACACAAGGTTCTACACTTAAAGTTGATAAGTTGACTTTAATATTCATATGTTTTTTTCTGTATGTTATTACCATCTCCATAGCATATTTGATGAAGTTGCTAAGTGTTTAAATTGAATCAGTTGATGATTTTCTATATATAGCAACAGTGACCTTGCCCTTGACCTTGGAACCCTGAAACACAACAATGTCCGAAGTATACTCATACTTGACCTTTGCATAAAGTTGCTAAGTGTTAATATTGAATCAGTTGTTGATTTTCTATATATAGCAAGTGTGACCTTGACCTGACCTTGGATCCCTGAAATACAACGATTTATGAAGTATACTCATACTTGACCTTTGTATAAAGTTTGACCAAAAACTGTCAAAGAATGAAGTTGCTAAGGGTTTACATTGAATCGGGATGCGACGCGACGGGACAGTACGCTGCACCAGGGCAAAAGCTCACTTGTCCTTGGCAGGTGAGCTAAAAACAGATAAAGGGACAGACAGACGTAAAATCTGATTACTAAAGATGTGCAGGGGTCCTAACAACAAATTGTGTAATTGAATTGGAGAATCCCCCTTTGGGACCGCACTCCTCCCCCTAGGGAGCCAGAGTATTATGAGAGAGACCCGCTGTTAAACGGCATTCAGTCTTCTTAACCAAGTAATGCTCCAGACCATTGGTTTGAACATACAGAAGGACTTCAAAGGATGTACTGTTTCAGGTGATTTGTGTCCTCGCAACCGCCAGGGTCATATGAGGACGGGTGTCACCTATAGAAGAAAACTGCAATTCGATGGAAGTGCATGTGTTGACGGAAAAATTACAGTTACTTATAAGAATTTCCTATGTGCAAAGGGCTATAACTCCAGAAAAATAGAACATGGACATTGGATTCTAACTCAAACTGTAATCCATTATACATTTATACTAAGTTGCAAATAATATGGAAAACAGTTAATTATGAGAAATTCCTATGTGCAAAAGGGCCATAACTCCATTCAAAAATGGAATTTTAATACATGGTTCAAACTCTGTAATCTATTATGATAAAGCCACAAACAAAGTTTCAAATTGATATGGCAAGCGGTAGCGAAATAAGTCCAAAAAAAAGTTTATTTTGATAATTTCCTATGTGCGAAGGGCCATAACTCCAGCAACAAATGGAATATTGACATAGGGTTTGGACTCTTACTGTAGTCCATTATGATAAAGCCACATACTAAGTGGCAAGCGGGAACGAACAAAGTATGGCAAACAGTTAATTATGAAAACTTCCAATGTGTGAAGGGCCATACATGTAACTCTAGCAAAAAAATAAAATATTGGCACGTGGTTCGAACTTGATCTGTTATCTATTATGATTAAGCCATATACAAAGTTACAAATTGATATGGTGGCGACAAAAAGTCTGGAAAACTTAAATGTGGCTGCTGCCGCCGCCAACGACATCGTGTGATGACGGACAGACTGATCCTTCAGTGTTCGCAATGCTTCTCAGGCGGCACGACTAAGGAAAGGCAGTGAAGAAAGAAAGGAAAGATTTAAGATCCCAAGTGTGTTGCAATGGGGGCAGAAGATCTATTTTGGTCTGTTCAATGTCCCCCAAGTAGTAGACATGAAAGAAAATCCCCGATTCTTCATAACTTGAAAATGAAAGTGAACGGACATAACTCTTTATGTAGACTCCAATTCAAGTAATCTGTGCTGATCTGACATATCTTTTAATTCAAGATTTATCTGTACACTAAATTCAAGAAGAATTACACATTATTTTATGTTTCGCACGTCTGAAAGTGTCTGACATTGTCAGTATGGTAAGTTTTAAGCAAAACTTCAAAACTATCTAAAATTTCTGGATATTTTTTTCCAAAAACAACGGGAAGAAAATCTACATTTTAAAGAAAGTGGTAGCTATGGGAGCACCCTATATATGTTATAAACATAAAAATATTGGTACCTTGCAAAACAATAAGCAAATTTCGCAAAACCACCAATTCTCAAAAATCAAAGCTGTTGATAGGACGTACATTAAACAATACTAAATCAAACCTGAAGTTTATTTTGACATAAAGACTTTATTTATTTGGATAATTTCATGGAACTGATGACTTGTTATTTTAAACAAATGATTTGTTAATGTCAACTTGCATGCACTGTATGAATGTTATTTTAATAACATTGTACCCATATGAATCCATGATTGTCGTGAAGTGGTGCTTTATTTGAATTTAATACATTTGATGCTCTATTACCGGACCTGGAACGCATTCGTAGCCATACCGGGACAATTACAATACTGTGGTATAACTGTATATATATTGTGTACATAGTTTAAAGCGTCTGCTAGATCAGCTGTTCTAACTTACAAACGTCCAGGTGACGAGAAAGAACATGAGAGGAATGTTTCTGACTTTTGACAGGAGCTGTAGGCAATTCACACTTTTCAATTTGTACTATTCTTCTTTTTGGATAACGACGCACCGCTTTAACTTGTAAGTGAAAAATACATCACTGGCTTCTCGAGCAACAGCAATACTAAAAACGTCTTTTGATATTAACGGCTACCAAACCCGTGCTCCTGGTTACAAATAAATGCTATGTCCCAATCACCTGCCCTCTGAACTGTTTTTTAAGTAAGTTGTATTGGTGCAAAACTTTGAACAGCATGATTATTTAGCCTCTTTGTCTTAATCCTTCCAACGTAGGTATCTTGTGATAAAATTTGTTGTTTACCTTACACTGTTACAATGTTTTACCATTTATATATATATATATATATATATATATTTGTCGAAATACAAGCTCCTGAGAGCTTATGTTAACTATGACATATATTCAACGTAAAATAATGATTCGTGTATCTTGTATTTTGAAGCAACATGCCACTATGCTTTTATCCGATAATTTTAAGATAAAAAACACACACACAAAAGCTTTTAATAACGAACTTTTCCTCGAATGCGCCTATGTATAATCTTCGGCACGATGAAGAACACAAGTTAAGGTATACTGTTGATGCCGACATGTACAAATGTATGTAAACTGTAAAACGAAAGTAGGTCTGCGCGATCGCAAACATTTAATGCTAATATTTTCGTATAAATGTAAGTTTAGTTAGTACTTGATGTGATAGCAATGGATTAAACGAGTGTTACCTTGTGTTGTATTCTAGCACATCAGTGTCTCAATACATACGGTATTAATCTGTTAATGTTCGATAAACGTCTGTTTATTATTACTGTCCTGATTATGTTGTGAGGTATTTCCGGGTCACGTTCTCGTATCAAGTGCGCTTCCGGTTACGTCATAAAATGAAAAATCTTTTTGATATTTATTAATTAAAGATAGTTTAAAGAATAAACGAGTATGTTCTCGGCATGATCGTTTAGAAGCTTTGCAATACTTCAAACTCTTTTAAACGTGCATCAGCTCGAGATTAGACTCTGTTTACAAAATGGCGACTGGAAGTAGCAAGGCGGATTAAATTGGAACTTCAATTATGAATATTTCGGCAAGTAAACATTGTTCACAAAGCCCATGTGGTCTGTTCATCTAATTTAGTCAATATGTACTCAGACCAGTCGTTGTTTAGTCGTTAGGGTCATTCACAAAAAAAATAGTATTATTATATAAACCTATTGTAATTATAAGTGTAGATGTGTGATATAGTATACACATACATATACACATAAAAGACATGACCTACAAACAAATAAAAATGTGAAATATATATGTTTTTACTATCGAACATGCTTACTCGTCAGCTGCCAGATCGGTAGGAAAATAAGCACATCCTAATGGGACAGTCGGTGTCACTAAGACGTCGATCGAGGAACCTTCCGCTACGGTATAGGAAGTCTGATCTGTCTGTAAGAAAACAAGGACAGCAAACTATCCCGTGAACTGATAGCTCTAAATCGTTTAGATATATTCAACAGAAAAAAAGGGAAAATATTGCTTTCCAAATCAATATGAACTTAAGCAGGTTTTTACTAGTATTTGCTGAACTATATAACAATGGCGAGTTACAAGTTCTTGAGGATTGTGAGATACAATATATATGCTCACTTCTAAACTTCAACAAACAGCTGAACCATCCGTCGTAAAGTTTCTGTCTAACATTACATGTGTTTGTTTTTCTCTGTTAAACAAAAAATGACCGTCCATGCACATAAACAATTATTATTTCATACATATATTTCAATTCTACTTTTCTTTTAAACAGTTAAACAGGAAGCAATAATCCATACAACCTTTAAACTACTATATAATACCGATAAGCAGGAGATGTTCGGCAATTCTTCCTTTAGACTGTTCGATAGGAAACGTTCCTTAATACATTTAACCTGGTTTAACATTTTTGATAATACAAATGTTGAGGTTCTTCAGAACATATTTGCGTTTCCAATGTAACTGCAACACTCCAGAAGTTAAATACACAAAAAGATATACACTGAGAATTCGAATTCATCAGAAATACAAAATGTTTATATACATGGCAGTCTCCCTTTACATACCGTGAAGCCAGCTTTAAAGGACTCGCTTGACCTTGAAGGGCCAATGGAACTATCGGTGAGACCACGCAGACGAACTTCACATCTTACCTATATAAAACGGTGAAACAAAAGCGAATATATGTACAACATTTAGAGAAAGACATTTCGTCCACTAAATCTGACAGCGTCTGTCAGTCTCATAAATTTACATAAAGATCCACGCTTATCAGACCAATACAAATGAACCATATTTCTAAACATTCTCTACAGGTTGAAAACTATAGAGATGACAACAATAATACCGCCCATGACTCGGCTACGCTGTAAACTTATTTTAGTTGTTATACATTTTCGTGATGACTATCAATTGACTAATTGATTCAGCTACGTTTTGTTTAATACCTGCACATATATGCGAGAGAGTCTATGAGCCCCCACTCAACTCTTTTNCAACTTTTTTTTTTTTTTTTTTTATTTAATTAGACAGGGTGAAACATATTTAGACGTTCGTCTAGTTTACAACATGACCCTGTAAAACACATAATATATACATATTACATACACAATATGGACAATTAACACCTTACATGTACCCAATATTTTATACAACATAACCAAGCAAAAAAACACCATCTAATGGATTAAATCTAAATTTATATAACAGGCACGTTAAAAAATTTAAAGTCATTAGCCTATCCCGTAACGACAATTTTTTCGGCTGACGTTTACGAACACTCAGATGAGGAGGGGGACGGAAAAATAGAAAGGAATTGGCCAGGCAGAGTTGACATGTGCAAGCAAGTTATTGGGAAAGACTTATTGGACTGTTTTCTATTACAGAGAGACGGAGAAAGGGTTGGAGTGTTGGGGAGGGGACGACGAGTAGCTCGGGTTGAACAGTGTACAGAGTAAAACATTATTGTAAAATACCTATGTCGAAATATTGGAAAATTGTACATATTCAAGCGGTAGATAAAGGAAGCCAGCTGGCAACACCGCAATAGGCCAGTTCTGAATTTACTTGCCAAATATACATCAACAAGAGAAACGCAAACGACAAATACTTCAAAGAATTTTTTCTTGATACAGTATTACAACTTTATATAATTCAAACTCCCATTTAGAATGATAGAAACACTCGCCACAATATCTTCAGTATAAGTAGTAAATATGATACAACTAACCAGGAAGTTGAGTTTGTACGTATCCCTCCAGCATGCCTCCAGCAAACGAGTGGTCGACAGGTTCGTGTATGCTACCAGTGCATGGGAACAATTCGTCAAGGGGTTATCATTGATGTACCAGTTGATGTCGTACAAATACTGCTCAGCCATGGCGTTTTCATAATTGAAAGTTATATTGTGTTCAAATTTTATTTCAGTGTTTACTGCGTCGGCACTAGGTGCGGTTACAACTGGTCCTATTCTCTCTTCCAGTCCAGGCGTTATCGTAACGGTGTATGGAATGTCTACAAAACCTAAAAAATACAATAATGATCCTTTAGTTATATCTCCTTCATATATTTCACGCATTAAACAGTCATCTTATCACATCAAAAAGGGTAGTATTTGCAGCGTTTATTAGGACTATCAAACATTGACTACATTTTGAACAGTCCTGATGAAAGTAGACAAAATTATGTTTCTCGAAGATAGAAACAGTAAATGGTTAATGCCATGAAGAATGAAAATAAACAACATGTGAATAAAATGATGATATGAACAAAAACGTAAGTAGTGTTGTGCTATGATATGTAAAGCTATATACAGAATTAATCTGAATATATCTGTCATACTTTCAATTTGGATTAATCAGAATCCATTTCGATAAAGGATATAATTTATTCATTTCAAAATGACAACACATCCTATGCCGCCAGTGCAAAGTTTTTTGTGTCCTCATGAAGAACCCCGCTTAAAGGAAGGCGTTCTGTAATGTACAAATATCACCTTATTACTTTACTTTCTGGAATGCATGATTCATATATTTCATTAATTAAGTTCACTAGGTTTCACATCTCATCATTATTATGACAATATTTAGAAAACAATAATAAAATAATACGTCAACAATTTTGTCGCAGTAATAGGATTGAAAAAATCTGAAGAATCGAACAATATATTCTAGCATAGTATAGATTGCAATATATAATGTATGGAATAGATAATCATTCAAACCCTCTTCAATTATATACATATATAAAAGATTCAAAAACAAAACTTCATTTAAATCGGTTCCTTACCTTATCCTTTTGGCCAATCTTTAGAGTTATCCAAGTCAGTCCCATTAATCCTTGAAGTCAATAGTTTAAAAGAGTCCGTGTTTCATGTTATGAAAAGCTATTACATTTGTATAGTGTTATAAAGGACATGATCAGAAAATGTAATTGCATCATTTGCAACTAGGTCAAAAATCCAATATGGCCGCCTTGACGTCATATGTCAAACTCTTTAAACGGCCATAGCTCAAAATCTATTGATTACATTTCATTTTTCAAAGTTTATACACATTCCTTTAGTGGTCGATGGGGAATTGCATCACGATATTTTGGATTTCATCTTCGACGTTAAGTGTTAACATTATTTGTAATTTGAATACTTCTTTTGATAATATTTTGAAGAGCTAACAAAATGTTAACATCGTTTTTGGATCAACTAACCCGTAGGGCCAAGTGAGCGTATGCCATGGTACGGCGTCCGTATTTAAACGACTTCTTCCCAGATTGGTGATATTTGGCCAGAAGCATACTAGAAGAGAGGTTTACCAAGTTTGTTGAAATGAATGATCTTCACGTGTATTCAAGGTCACAGGGGTCATATATCTTGAAGTCTTTTCACGACTTCTTTTGAATAACAAACCGGTCCAGTGATGATTTTGGCTAGTAACATGCCGGATGAAGGCTCCGAGTTTGTATAAATGAATGGTCAATGTTAAGTATGTTGAAATCTTAAAACGATGTCTTCTGAATAACCCAAATGCCCAGATTGACGATATTTGGCTAGAAGCATATTGGGATATATGCCTGTCAAACTCGTTCAAATGAATGACCTTCACCCATATTCAAGGTCACAGGGGTTAAATATGTTTGAATTTTTAAACGACTTCTACTGAATAACTAAAAGGTCCTAGGTGATGATTTTTGGCCAGTAGCGTGCTTGGATTTTTTTGTGACCACGAATGTTCACGAATGAACTAAAAATTAAGGGTGGTGATATTTAGCCAGAAGCATGCTGACAAAACAGGGATACCAAGTTTGTTTAAATGAATTACTTTTGTTCATATATATATGCAGGGTTCAAATATGTTGAAGTCTTTTCACTACTCATAAATAACAAACCGGTCCAGGGTGATGATATTTAGCCAGAAGCATTAGTAACATGCTGGGATAAAGGGCTTTCAATTTTGTTCAAATAAATTACCTTCACCTATGGTCAAGTTCACATGAGTCATATGTCAAAAACCTGAACGACATCTCCTTAATTAAAAAAGTGGCATGGATAAAGATATTAAGCCAGTAGCATGCTGGGATGAAAGATTTCAAAAAACTTCCTCAAAAATGACCTTGTTCATATCTAAGGTCACATGGGTCAAATATGTCAAAAACCTGAAAGACTTCTCCTTAATAAAAAATGATATTTGGCATTTTGCTTTCTTGGATGAATAGCTATCAAGTGTGCTAAACTTAATGTCATTGTTTGACTTTCAATGTCACAGAAGGCATATGTGTTTACATGTGCTTTTGAATTACTTTAAGCCAAAAAACTAATAAAGTAGGGTCAACGCCTATGGAGATTTAACATTTGCATCAATACAAGATAAGTACAAAAAGATAGGGTATTGGAAGCTTAAATCAGTAACAGTTAGTTTATTTTATGACAACTGGGACCTCATTGACTTACACCTATGTGGGTGTTAGGTGTGATATTATATTTTCTCCAAACGCATTTAAATGACACCTATACTACAAAATGCTATCATCATCGTATGCAAAATATACCAAATATTATTTTGATACCAAATATGACACCATTTCAAGAAGGAATTGTTCTTTTCTTTGAAGATTTAAGTAGCGAGAATGTGAAATTTCGTTACAACTTAGAGAATTCCAATTTTGGACACGTCAATTTTCATAGTTCAAAAAGAGTCTATTTTTCATATTTGCTTAGTTGGTTACCAATACTTTCTTTCAACATCAGGAATAAAAAAGAAAATGGCAAACGGTAAATTTGTCATATAACAACTTTGATTAAAAACAACAACATAACGTTCTTTCCACTTTTCCTTTAGCTTGTGTTTCTCCATAACCAAAGATCCTGTGTCTTGATATTTGGCGAGTAGATTGTTTATATGAATGGTTATAAGTTTTATAAACGTTACATGTAGTGACATTGACCATCGTTCAAGGTCACAAGAATCAAATGTGCTAAACGAATTTTGTTGTGTATGGGATAACAAACAATGATATCTTTCCTTGCCTAATTTGTTAAGAGTTTAAGATTAAAGATAATGTAATATTCCTTCTAATTTTGTTTAATGGATGAGCAGAAGAGAAAAGAAAGTAATAATCAAGTGTATATTTGTTTTATAATTAAGATTATTTTATTGTTTTTATATATTTGAATATCTTTGTGTTTAACACAATCTCAATTACTTTTACATGTTTATGAGTTATTACTAAATACAGCTGCACAAAACTTTAAAACGTTCGTAATATAAAAAAGTGAGAAAATGTATCGCTATTACTATACTTAACATTGATAATCAAATCTTCAAGATTATGTGAAATTGTGCATTGGTCATGTTTGGCATGCTAATCAAATTTTTTAACCGGTTTTGATATGATAAAAAAGTGATTTTGTAGACAGAATCTATATATGGAATGTTTCAAAAAAGTATGAAATATCGACTATATATTTAAAATTTTGTGTAAATCTTGCATATTTTTCGAATAAAAAGTATCACTTCGTTTACTTCATGCATATTGATATGACATAATTAGTATAAAATAAAAGGATCACGACACACAATCATCATTTATTTTCAAATTATATTTGCCTGTGACATTTATCTGTCATTTTTCTAAGATACCCCCGTCACTCAACCTGGTGTTATGCAAGGAGGCCCTCTACAGTAATCAAAAACTTCAATTACAAAATATATGATAGTAGTAAATGCATAATAGAACAAGCAGAATGAAGGATGAAGAATTTAGAATGTTACATGAAGCTTTTTGGAACAAATCGTATATATATAGCGTGAAGTATTTGGCATGCACAATTTTGACCCTGATGACATTCCATGCATTATACATCAAATACAATAAATAGCTAAAAATGAAATCAAAATTTAAGACATTGTGTACATCATGACGATAGAAATCAGCGTTTTTATCTACAAAACACAACTGTTCTGTAGTTATGACTAGATCGTCCGGTGGTTTCAGTTAGAAAATATAATGTATGGAGTATATTTGGTATTAAGATGTTTATGAACGTATCAGAAATATATTTCGACAAAATATTTACTAGCATTCAACATACATAAATGTTAATTTTAAAACAAAAAGGTCATTACATATTTTACTTATCTATCTATTAAATTCAAGGCCATCATGATATTGTATTTACGTGTGCTTTGATCGATTGATTCGTCACTCATCAATATCAAAACATTTCAAGAAGTAGTCAATCGACGCTAGCACCTGTTAGTAAATAGGATGTCAACCAAAATCCGCAAGGGCCCCGCTGTATGCCCGACAGTGTATGTCCCGTATAAGCACCAGGGAAGATCAAAAGTGACCAATGACTGTTTTAGAAAGGCCCATTTACATTACATTTTTGACAGTATATGCTCTGTTTTCGGTTTTAGTTACAGCGACCTTGACCTAAGGAACTTTTTAAACAACTATTGCACATCTGGGTATAGTCACAATGTATCATCATAAGAATTTACAGAATGTTTGGCCTTCTGTTAGGGCCTTATATGATGTATTTTTGACAGTATCTTCCCTATTCTATTTTTAGTAACAGTGACCTTGAACCTCCTATTGCACATCTGCACATCACAGAGTATCATGATCAATTTCAGAAATTTTGACCATCTGGATCATGAGATAACCGCCGTAAAACGAAAGTGCCGACAGACAAACAGACGGAAGGATGGACACGGTGTTACTATAGGGCAACCGCATTTTAATGTGCTTACTTATACAGCCTGGTGTAAATCCTGTTTCCGATGTTTCACCATCTGGACACTTTGTTTCAGTGCCTAAAAAATGAAAGATTAATGGGATAAAAATCTGTCACATAATTCGCTCTAGATTTAATACATGAATCAATTCAAAACAACATCTCACAAACGCATTCTAGTTATTCGGGCATTTTATAATGAAACGTTATTACTTTTTGATATTGGCAAAATAACCATAGCGTTTCACTCTCTGAAATATTACTGTGTTGCTGTAAGTCAGCAGCACGCCATCTTCCCAATTTTAACTCGTTCACCCGTACATATGTTCAACTGCACTTGCCCAGTCTTTGATTTGGTAAGGTTAAAATGTGACTTTGAGTTGGACAGGTTGAATATACTTACCAAAACAATATCCATAGTTTCCTGGAGTTCTCTTCAGGTCGTAAACGTAAAAGGATCCACAGTGTTTTACTCGGACTGTTGACCATGTAGGAACACAAGATGAGAAACCGCCAACAGCACACATCTTTACTGATTTAGTCTCTCCGTTAGCTGGTAAAGCTACAAGGATTAAAACAAATTCATTTAAACAGACGATACATTATGTAAGCATTTGAAATATTCGACAACATCTTTCAATTGATATCTACCTATCATCAATTATGTGGCCAAAATTTAATTGGGTAACTGAATGTTTATTCACCTTCTTCTTCTTCCTTTACAAGGATCAGACTCAAAGGTTTGAGTGCACTTGATCCTGGGAGGTGGCATTAGAAATGTTAAAAACAATTATTTTTGTTAATTTGTACTATAAGACAAAAATAGAAACACTTTATGGAAGGTTGAAACTAGCCAGGGCAGACCTGAAAGAGTTCAGGTTTTGCTCCTGTGCTAGGGATGATGGTAGCGAATTCCAGTTAACAATAGTTCTAGGGAAGAATGAATATTTATACAAATTTGTGTGGGTTGATATTTGATTAATTCTATGGGCCCCTCTGGTTCTCCTGTTGCCTGATGTTATGAATTGGGATGGATCAATAGCCACATGTCCGTTTGTTATTTTATATAACATCATGAGCCTGGCTTTTGTTCTTCGCTGGGCTAGGGGCTCCCAGTTAAGTATATTTATAAGGTTGGTGACACATCCAGGCTCTCTAGATCTATGATCATTAAATATGTAACTGGCAGCCCTACGCTGTACATTTTCAATTGCTAGGACCTGGTCTGAAATAAAATGGTCCCAGCAAGTGGCTGCATATTCTAGTCTTACTAATGTGGTGAATGTCTGGGTTTTGACTTTTCTGGTGCATGATGACATGTTGCGACGCAGAAATCCCTGTGTCCTATTTGCCTTGTTGGTGATGGATTGTATGTGTTTATCCCAATTTAGGTCTGAGGTGAAAGTGACCCCTAGGTATTTGATAGAGTCTAAATTTTCCAAAACTTGATTGTGCAGGGAGTAGCTAAACTTAATTGGATTTTTCTTCAAGATATGTTGATGATAGAACATTTTTTGGCGTTAAACTTCATTTGCCATTTACCCTCCCAGATTTCCAAGGATTTGAGGTCGTTTTCCAGTTTCTGACAGTCTTCTAATGAATTTTTTTCTGTATATAATAAGCAGTCGTCAGCAAAGAGTTTGATGTCGCAGGAAACTGAGTCAATGATGTCATTTATGTAGACCAAAAAGAGGAGTGGGACAACAACCGTTCCCTGAGGTACCCCGGATAGGACGGGGGTGCTATCAGAGCTGGTACTGTTAATTATTACTTTCTGTTGTCTGTTGTTCAGAAAAGAGGAAAACCAACCAACAGTATCTGAATCTACCCCATAAAATTCTAGTTTGGAAAGTAATCTTGCATGAGGGACTTTGTCGAATGCTTTCGAGAAATCTAAAAGGGCGACGTCAATTTGTTTATTTTTATCAAGGTTCCTTGCTATGTCGTCAATTGTCAGAAGTAGTTGAGTTTCAGTAGAGAATTTTGCACGGAAACCATGTTGTAAATTTGTAAGGATGTTATTTTGCTCAAGGTGGGACATTACGTTACTATGGATGATATGTTCTAATATTTTGCATGTGATACAGGTAAGTAAGACAGGTCTATAATTTTCAGCAGCTTGTTTATCCCCTTTTTCGAAGACTGGCACGATGTGTGCTTCACGCCAATCGTGTGGTACGGTGCGAGAGTCGAGGGAATTTTGAAAGATAATTGATAGTGCTGGGGTGATTTCTGTTGCCAATTGATGGAGGATTCTGGCTGGAATGGAATCAGGACCAGTTTCTTTATGAATATATACACCTGGTTCGCTGATGGTGATGCGTGACATTAGTCTGAATGGTGACAGACCTAAGTCGGGTAGTTCAGAGAGGTTTTCTTTGGTGAAGACTACTGAAATTGCTGGTTTATTATGTATGCTTTGCTTTTTGCATCAGAATATGTAAGGCCGTCTTCAGGATTCCTAATTGGTGGGATGTTGTTTGTATCCATTTTTTTACTTTTAATAAAACTCCAAAATAGTTTTGGTTTTCTATGAGCCGAGGACTAATGATGTCATGCATGTAACTACTATAGGCTCTTCTGGTCTCTTTTTGCATTTTGGATTTTATTTTCTTGTACCTGTCCCAGTCTTTTGTCTTGTGTGTTTTCTTGGCTTTGTTATAGGATCTTCGTTTTTGTCGGGCTAGCCTATTTATGTTGTTATTAGCCCAGGGATTGGTGAATTTTGACCTCGTTAGTTTTTGGGGTACGTGGGTTTTAATGACTGAATTAAGTCTACTATACATTTCAGCTTTTCTTTCACCTCCTCTTTCAAAAGGGTGATGTTAGCCTTGCTCCATATTGGTTCGTATTGGCTGTTTTATGGGAGGAGTTGAGATTTCATTGTCAATTAGGACGATATCATGGTCTGACACACCTGGGATAGCCTTGCAGGGAAGTCCACTTCTTGATTCAAGCCGAGATCATGGAAGAGAGCAATGAATTGTTCACTCAGAATGTTTGGATAGTTGCTACTTGCGATGACACTATCGGGCCAGCTGATGTCACTCAAGTTGAAATCACCCCCGAGCCAAAAGGTATGGTTTGGGAAAGTGTTGTATAGGTTGGTGATTTCCATTACTGAGTCGCTTATGAACTGTAGTGGGTCAGTTTTATTTGGTGGCCTATAGTATGAGGCTATTATTATGGGTTTTTGCTTTGCAAGATGGATTCTAGCGGCTACAAGTTCTACCTTGTCACTTTTGTAGGCTAATGTGGCATTGAGATTTGACCTAGTAACAACGAGGACTCCGCCGCTACGTGACGAGGTCCTATCATTTCTGAACAGTTCGAAATCAGAGGAAAACACTTCGCTATCACTGACCTCTGGTTTTAACCAGGTTTCTGTACCTATGAAGACGTCAGGTTTAGCTGATTCAATTAGGAGTTAGATTTCGTTACGTTTGGATCTAATACTTTGAAAATTGACGAGTAATGTTCTCAATGATTTAATGGGTTTTTTTGGGCATAGATGATTTGTTATTCTTTTGTGGAATAGGTGACGAGGTTGCTCATAGTTGCACCAAGGGGACACAGTAAAATCAGAAGAAAGTATCGAGAGAAATTGTATAATTTTGATATGCATTATGTAACTTATTAATATGTAGGAAATGTCGATCTTATGTCAGACATGGAAGCCTATCGATAGTCAATCCTGGTATAATACCTGCAGTAAAACATTATGTAGTGAAAAATATTAGAATTGTAAATTCAGATTAACATAAAGGTAGAAGAAAGCGACATATCATAGCAGCTGTGTTCTTGTCACATTAAGGAAGGGAACATTTTATAATTGATGTATTAAATTACAAGTTGAAAAATTCCTGTTTTTATATGCTCCTAATGGCTAATTTCATCAATAAATGCGCTTATTCGTAGAAGGATCACTGGGGGTTATTTCCCTTTGACTGTTAGGTTCTCACTTGGGTCATGTACTTTGCTCAAGTGACCTATTCTAATGACTTTCTGTCCGTCGTCGTTCATCGTGCGTCATGTGTACACTTTTTTTCATTTTCAACTTCTTCTCAAGAACCAGTGAATATAATTTTTTCAAACTTGGTCAGAATCATCCTTGGTAGATGAGGCTACGACAATGTAAAATTGGAATTCCTAACCCAACCCCTGGGGCCAGGGCGGGGCCCCAAAGGGGAAAATTAACCAATATTTCAAAAATCTTCTTCTCCAGACTCAGACGCACTACAGTCAATTTCAGTGCATGGATAGAAAGATCATCAGAAGCTTTATTGAAATTGTCAATTTCAGGACCCCCGAGCCATCCGTTACCCCTTTGGATGGGGGTAAAGTTTACTTTAGTTTATATAGGGAAATAACACTTTTGGGTATATTTTATCCATTTTCAGCAGAAAATTACTCAAACATAGTCAGAATCATCTTGGGTGAATGAGGGTATTACATTGTAAAATTGGGATTCCTGCCCCATCCCCAGGGGCTAGGGTTGGGCCCGAAAGGGAACATTTAGTAAATGTTACCAATATTTAAAAATTCTTATCCTTTGATACATCACAGGTATTATATTTCACTTAGTTTACATGCTGATTTCCACATCACATCTAAACAATAAAATAAAGCTACCAGTACCTATGATATAACTCAGGTGACCGCTAAGGCCCTTGGGCCTCTTGTTACATATTGTTTTCTTGTTTATACCATGGATTTTTAAAATCAATTTAACACAATTGGTAATGTCATATGGTATTTGAAAGGGATGATGTATGATAGACGTTTGATGTTTGGCAGTTTTTGCATTTGAACGAATTTACTTGTGACTCAGGATCGTGTAGCATCGACATCCGCATGACGGGCACACATACACTGTACCTGTACGATGTGAATAGAATTATGATGCAATGAATTTGATACTCCTGAGTCTGTTTTGGTTCATAATGATTAGAAAGCAAGTTACCTTCTAAATTAGAGTCAGGCGAATAAGAACTAAAACACTGAAAATTAATCTTTAATATTGCGTGATTTATTTTATCGTTACTTTTCTCTGGTAATGCAATGATAAACGTAGGTCCAACGTCGGGCACATATACACTGTACGATGTTTATAGGATAATGATGCAATGAGTTTTATACTGGTGGTAGGTAAATCTTGTACACCGTTCCCGGACCCAGACTGAAACCCCGTACCAGGAATATAAAGATATTTTAATATCACATTAACGCGATCGTTTATATTTTTTATAAAATTATACAATAATTTCAAACATTATTTTCTAAAAGTGACAGTTATAAAAATGTTTATTAATTATCTATTAATTTAGAAATCGACGATAATGTGTATTTCAAAGGGGTAAAACTTGTACGTCGCAGTCAACCGTGAAAATCACGGTTATTCACATATAATTAGAAATTTAGGGAAAATTAACATGTTATTTTCAGATATATAGAAGAAAATACCTTACTGTTTATAATTATGTAAGTTTCGTTGAAATATACGACATATTTCACATAAAATTCTGACTTTGTTGTGATCGCGGGTGTTTTGTTTACTCCCGT